AAACTTCACACTGGACTTCAAGCAACATGGTTTATGTGCCTCTCCACTCTTCCTCCAGACTCTGGGACCTTGATTTCCAAATGAAATGCAAAATTTACTTTCATCTGAAAAGAGGACTTTGGTCCACTGTGTCTTCTGAAGTCCAGGAAATTTTAGAGCACTTCATGCTTCCTTCTGCTGACAAGCTTTATGGAGATGCTGATTTCATTTTCCAGCAGGACTTGGCACCTGCCCACACTGCCAAAAGCTGGTTCAATGACCATGGTGTTACTGTGCTTGATTGGCCAGCAAACTCGCCTGAGCTGAACCCCATAGAGAATCTATGGGGTATTGTCAAGAGGAAGATGAGAGACACCAGACCCAACAATGCAGATGACCTGAAGGCCGCTATCAAAGCAACCTGGACTTCCATTACACCTGAGCAGTGCCACAGGCTGATTGCCTCCATGCCACGCCGCACTGATGCAGTAATTCATGCAACAGGAGGCCCAACCAAGTATTGAGTACATGTACAGTAAATGAACATACTTTCCAGAAGGCCAACAATTCACTAAAAATGTTTTTTATTGGTCTTATGAAGTATTCTAATTTGTTGAGATTTTTGTGAAATGTGAGCCAAAATCATCCCAATTAAAAGAACCAAAGACTTAAACTACTTCAGTCTGTGTGCATAGAATTTATTTAATACATGAGTTTCACAATTTGAGTTGAACTACTGAAATAAATTAACTTTTCCACGACATTCTAATTTATTGAGATGCACCTGTATATATATATGTGTGTGTGTGTGTGTGTGTGTGTATAGTATTTTATATTGCATGACACTTGAGTCTTAATAAATAGGTGTTAAACTTTCTTCCTCATTTCTTTTCCTGTTCAGTCTCACCAGAGACAACATAACAAAGACAAGCCATATAAGTGTCCGAACTGCTACCGCGCATACACAGACTCAGCCTCCTTACAGATCCATCTCTCTGCACATGCTATTAAGAATGCTAAATCGTACTGTTGCAGCATGTGTGGTCGTGCATACACCTCAGTGAGTATCAGTCCACATTAACCTATGGGCAAATATGGGACCCTCCTCTTTTTTCATATTATAACACCATCTTCTGCTTTTTTTTTTCAGGAGACCTACCTTATGAAGCACATGTCCAAACACACCGTGGTGGAGCATCTGGTCAGCCACCATTCCCCCCAGAGAACAGAATCTCCCAGCATCCCCATACGCATTTCACTTATTTGAACTTCCCCCCTCATGTTCCTCTTCCATTAAAAGGTATTTTGTTCACTGCGATGGTCTTCCGTTGAAAAAAAAAAAGAAAAGAAGAACACGATAAGTGTTAAGAGACCTCGGAGGACATTTGAGTCTGATATTGTCTTTGTCCCTTTAGCTCTTAGTGATATTAAACCTACAGGCCACAGACTCAACAACTGCTGTCTGAACTGAATGGTTCAATTCAACTCCAGACACCAGTCTAAAAGGATTTTAATTGATTATTCCAAAAACAGAATGTCACAGTAGTGATCATTTTAACATTTTGTTTCAAAGGTGTGTAAGGGAGACTTCCAAAGATACTCTTTAAGCACTTTTTCAGCCTCGTGGTTTTGGCTCAAAGTAGAATGAATCTTTTCAGAATGGGAGCAGCTTCTCGCTTTGGGCAGCTATGAGAGGTTAAACTTCGTTTTAGAAAGTCAGACGGATTTTGTTGGTTTCCGTCTCCACTTCTCCTCCTTGTCATTTGTTTTAACAGGATATTGTGTATTATTTTGCTGTGGATATGACACTTCTACCACTTTAAGCGTCTATTAACCTTTTATATGGGGTATTAGGTCATGGTGAGAAATGAAAAGTGTAAAGTCAATTTTGTGAATTTTATAAGCATGGTCATTGCCCTAGTATTTTTATACAGGTAAAGGTGAAGGAATTCCAAGAAATCCCCTGCTAACATAAAAGAGTGTAAATAAGATGTGACACTCTCTAAAATAATGACTTGTGTTATTTGCATCATAGATGTTTAACTTGTTTCAGTTTCTGTAACAAGGCCTTTTTTGTGTGCAATGCAAATTTCATCCCTTCCAATCACAGTATTTTAAGGAAAAAGTGTCCTTTTTGTCATTTTTTAAAAATTAAATGGCATAATTGCATGATGACAATATCCAAATGGATTTTGGTCATGATGTGACAGAAGAAGTGTCACACAGGTTCAGTGTTGTTAACTAAATCAGACATTTACGGTGTAGCGTGACCTCTGAAGCAATGCAAAAGCACCTTGAGACATTCATTTACACCGATGGAAAGTGTTCACGAGTTGTTTTTTTTAGATTATGATATAATCTAATAGCAGTGGCCTATTTTGAAATGTTTTTATTTGTCAAATTTGAATTTTGTATACCAAAATATCAGTAATCATGTTTTAAGAAAATCAAGTAAAAAAAAAAAAGCTAATTTTGAATGTAGTCGTGTTCATTTCCACCGTTGCGTTTCTGTTACATAAGTTCATCCAAAAACCAATAATTCTGTAAATCTGGTATGTTAAACTGATTTTTTTTTTATATATATAGTATATATTTGCTCTGACAAGCAAACCAGCATACAAGCTGAAAAAATTTTTTTAACAGTAGTGGGCAGCAGTATAAAATGCTCTTACTGAGTTAAAGCACACATGGTCTTATTGAATTATTCTAGCCAAATTTGATCATATGTGATCATACTTACCGTATGTAATTTCACAGGCCACAACACTGCAGCTCTACAACATTCATTTATTTTTGTGGTCATTTATACCAGTCATTTGTTAAGCTTATTGTTTTTTTTTTTTAATTCCTGTATATTTAGGAAACTTTTTTGTTTGCAAAGGACCAAGCTGTTGCTCTCAAATGCTCTCAAAATACACCAACATATATATAATAGACATTATATATATAATTTACACAGTAATGTTTTACTGGGCAAACAGAAATTGTCTTTCATATTTGGGAATGGCACAATTTGAGATAAACAGCAATTTGATGAGGATCTACTTCTTGGTGCTTTTTATAAAACCTCAGCTTATTGCCAGGAATAGATTATTACATTACAGTATAATCCTGGCTTGTTCAGCCTCAAATCCACTTCAAATCAGTAAGACATGTACATTTACTATAAAATATACCCTGTATTCATTGATAGTGCAAACTGCAAGGTTTAGATACTGTACTTTGTTCATTTTTGTATCTGTTTAGTATTTTTCAACTTATTAATATTTGTTTTTCTGTAAGTACTGATCATTGTTTTTATAGGCATCCTTGTCATTTTTATGTGTACGCCTTAATTTTATCATCGCTGAAAGACCGGTTTCTTTCTCTTTCTCCCTTCCATGTCGATGTTTTTCAGTATTCGGTTTTCTTAAGCCTTTTTTCCGCATGGAACACAGTAACCGTTATTACCTGTTAACATGTATTACGTAAGACATTGTTATGTATGTTCTGAAATAATTAACATTTTCCTTCGTCTTGCATTGTGGTTCCATATGAAGATTTTGTTTAATATGCACAGACAAGACTGATAGGTGAATTAAGAAAATATCAATGTCAAGAACACTTTGTATCTCTATCTTGTTTATTAAATTCAGACTGTTATACCTGAGCCTTTGTATTTTATTTTTAAATGCACTGGAGTCAGAAGAGTGAATACTGTAAACACTGGGCACACCACATTTGATATGGACACAATATTGATACAATTCTGCAGAGTTGCTTTCAAAATTTGCAAGTAATAGATTCATTTCCACTGCATCAGACTGAAGCTTGAATCCTTTTGTCGTTAAATCTAAGTCCTTACTTTGATGGCAATTGCAAATTATGTTTTTAGGGACTCTTTGTGTTAACTACTTCTAAAGCATTTAATAATCTTAGCTAATGTTAATTTCAACATTTACTGAACCATTATTAAAATCAAAAGTTGTATCGGTTAATATAATTTAATTGACCTGAGCTAATGTTAACTAACAATAATACGTTAATACATACTGACACAAATGTAGTGCCCTTTATTAATGTTATTTAATGCATTAATTAAAGTTTGCTAAGAGTTTATTGTAAAGTGTTACCCAAAACTCAATATTACATTTTATTAATTTGGTTAGTAAAATTATAAATGAAAATATCTGTATTTAGGTAATGTCATCACCTAAACACCTATTTTGGGATATTTTTGTTAGTACGTATTAAGTAATTCAAATTGACTGAAGCAATCAAACAGGCATCTTGAAAATAAGTTTATTAAGAAAATACATGCTTTGTGTAGCGTGTACACTGATGTCTTCCGCAGTTTAAATGACATGAGCCCTATGTTAATATTTTGTGAAAGTTGCATCCTAATATCGAATAGCAGCAGGACACAATGTACAATGCTCTCATAATGTACAGGCACAACTACAGGATCTTGATCCTTTTGCCACAGTTCAAAACAGAGGCTCCTCACTGCAGAGCCAATGGGTGGAGCTTGACATCAGCTCCTCCTTTTTGGACACAATGGGCGGAGCTTGACAGTCTAGCCACACCCTACCCCTAAACAGAAATAAGACAAGCTCCACCCATTAGGTCTGCAGATGTGGAGCTGGATGTCATTTGGCTCTGCAATAAGCACCACTTGGTTCAAAGTGATACAACAGTTCTCTGTCAGATGACTATGCTCCCAGGGAGTGCAACAAATTCTTTTTAAAAAAATCTATAAAACTCCCATTTCACCCCGTTCCATAAGTAAACAACAATCCAGTAAGGCTGATAATGCTACCATGTCTGTTTTCTTGTCAGTAGCCAAATCTTGTTTTCAGTGTAATTTAATACCAGCAGACCAAACCTTTTCCATGATAAATTATTCATCACAACTACATTGCTTACATTAGTACTTAAAAGCATATACTACACATAAGTAAGGTCTAAATAAATATTTTGACATTTCATGGCTGTGGTTTCTTCCCGCTCAATGGAAACAAATATATAGTGAATGTGTGAAATACAATCATAATAAATCTAAAAAAAAATAACAAAAAATTAATGATTAATTTTTAAGTATTAATTTCTTTAAAATAAAAAAAAAAATCTTACTGACCCCAAACCTTTGAACAATAGTGTACATGCTTTTATCTACAAAGAGTGTAGTAATCTCAGCTCCATGTAACATTTTACCAGGTTTGTTCACCCAAAAGCAGCACAGAAAATGAGAAAAGGTCAACTGACACATGCAAGGGTTGCAAGATATGTATCAGGTGGCATTTACACCAAATCGCACTAAAATATACAAACACTTGATTTCAAATACTTACTGCTTATCCAAAGGCAATAGTGCATTTCAGTTGTGAACACCTGTAGATTGTACCATCTGAACGTCAAATTAATAGTGCTTCAAGTGCTTCTCCATAGTCGTACCATTATAGGGTAAATGTATAAAAAATACATATGGCATCTTATAGATGTGACAAGGCTACTGACCATAACATCCAATGAAGTGTAATGTTTGTGGATGATATAAAATCTCAGGCCTTCTAGACTGACTCTACGTGAGCCACAAAGGCAATGCAACCGAATTCAACCCAGGTGATATGAGCCTGAGCAATAATCCAGCTCTTCACATTCGCTTTTAGTGTTAGGAAATTAATTTAAGAGAAAACATGACATAGACCGTCACAGTGCCACAAAAAAACTATTTGTCTGCGTTTTACCCAGCTACAGTTCAATTATTTTTAAGCCTTGACTGCTCCAGTGACTTTTCAGATTGGCAAGCCTTGTAATGGCATTTCACAAGTCATTGTAACTCCCTCAGGCCTCATCGCTTGTGACACTGAGATGCTCTTCCTGCTCTAACCTGCTGTTGGGAGCCACAGGTGAGGTCACGTTCAGGTAGCCTATCTCAGTGGACTGTGAAACAGGCACAGACGAGGAGATCTCGAGGCTCTTCACTCCAGACTCACCCACTTTGACTTTGCGAACGGCATCCAATATTCCCCATGAATCACAGAGCCCAGGCTGGGGACTACAGCAAGATGCAATGTAAAATGTCACAATTTGGTTACTGAGACTGAAAAATAATCCCATAATGTACTGCAGCCTCATAAGAAAAATAATTCCAAAATGGTAGACGAGGCAAGATTATACACTACAGTTCAAAAGTTTGGGGTCAGTAAGATGTTTCTGAAAGAAGTCTCTTATGTTCACCAAGGCTAAATTTATTTGAGCAAAAATACAGTAAAACGGTAATATTCTGTTTAAGTATTACAATCTAAAATTACTCTTTTCTTTTTTTTAGGTATTTTATATCCTGTATATATTACT